TGGGGTGGCACTATTACCGTTTATCTTCCGATCCTTGCTGTTAAATAACTTTCAGTCGTGAATGCTGGGGTGGCACTATTACCGTTTATCTTCCGATCCTTGCTGTTAAATAACTTTCAGTCGTGAATGCTGGGGTGGCACTATTACCGTTTATCTTCCGATCCTTGCTGTTAAACAACTTTCAGTCGTGAATGCTGGGGTGGCACTATTACCGTTTATCTTCCGATCCTTGCTGTTAAACAACTTTCAGTCTACAATAACACAGGCCCGCGAATTTAAACTTTATAAAAGTTGTTTTGGTTTTATTAACGGATTTTCCATAATTCAGCTACGCAGTATTTCGAAAATAATATTCATTTTTTTCTATCACGTAAATATTTTTTTTTTACAAATCGGGAAGAAGGAAAAACTCGTACTTGGATTAAATTATTATTTCGTTTACCACAATGAACATTTTTTATTATTACATTTGTTAAAAAAAATACAAATAAACTGAAGAAATGGGAAGAACATTGATGTCAAGCGAATATGCGTCCTCATTCATCGTGATTTTTTTTTGTAAAATGTACGTCATTTAGTCTCAGAACTTTCTTTTATGTATTGCGTTATGACGTTTTGTGAGAAATCTGTACTTGATGAAGAAAAATGGATATCATTTTCGGATTCGGCGTACAGGAATTACTGTAGAACATGTAAAAATTTCAAGACAATAAAACCGTCGCAGGCCTGTGTAAACAGATAAAAGTAAGTTTAGTATAGTGAACAAAATAAATACGGATAAAAATTCGAGTAGTAAAAAACACGGCGAACTACTGAAAAAAAACACTAAAGTACTGTAGAAAGTATGCAAAAATAAAAATACCAAATAGTATAAAATATCCTTGTGTTAATAAGATCCATGAACATTTTTCATCAAGTAAAAAAACATCGCTTCAGTACCGCAGGCTAGTAAAGAAGATTTGTTAACGCACCCAAATATTTTATCTTCTGACAGCTAGGTATCTAATTACCATACAAACGTACGGATGCCATGTTGTGATATTGCTAGCATAACCCCCCCTACCCGTTTTCGTCGACAGTGTAATTTCTGAGAGACAAAAGCTGAGGAGGAACCAAAACTAA